CACCGGTGACCCTGGGGACACTTTGGGACACCTCAACGAGGTCTATGAAGATGCCACCACCCCGGTGGCCCCTGTCCCCACGTCCCCAGGGAGTGACAAGGTGCTGGTGGCCACTGGTGGGGACGAGGTTACGGAGGGGACGGACCAGCCTGAAGTCACCGGTGACCCCGGGGACACTTTGGGACACGTCAATGAGGTCTATGAAGATACCACCACCCCGGTGGCCCCTGTCACCCCACCCCAGGGAGGTGACAAGGTGCTGGTGGCCACTGGCAGTGACGTCATCGTGGAGGGGACACAAGAACCGGGTGTCACCGGTGACCCCAGGGGCACTTTGGGACACGTCAACGAGGTCTATGGAGATGCCACCACCCCGGTCGGACTTGTCCCCACGTCCCCAGGAGGTGACAAGGTGCTGGTGGCCCACGGTGGGGACGTGGTGACGGAGGGGACGGACCAGCCCGGTGACCCCAGTGACCCCGAGGGACATGTCACCACTGTGGTGGCCCCTGTCACCCCACCCCCAGGAGGTGTCCTGGTGGCCACCGGGGTGGGGACGGACCGACTGGATGTCACTGAGCAGCCTGGGGACACTTTGGGACGTGTCACCGAGGTGTACGGAGGTGCCACCACCCCGGTGGCCGCTGTCCCCACGTCCCCAGGAGGTGACACGATGCCGGTGCCCCACGGCGGGGACGTTGTCCTGGAGGGGACGGAGAGTCCCCGAGTCCCCAACTGCCCCGGGGCCACTTCTGGCCGTGCCACCGCCGCCCCCAGAGGTGCCACCACCTCTGCCCCCCCCGTGGTGGCCACGTCCCCCAGGGGTGACACCGTCATGGTGGCCCCGGGGGGGGACATCGCCCTGGGGGGTTCCGGGGTCCCCAACTGCTCCGGGGACGCTCCGGGCGTCCCCAGAGATGCCACCTCTACCCCTCCCCCCGCGGTGGCCACGTCCCCCCGGGGTGACACCGTCATGGTGGCCCCGGGGGGTGACATTGCCCTGGGGGGGACGGAGGGTCCCGGGGCCACCGAAATGTCCCCAAGGGGGGGAGGTGACAAGGCCGGGGTGGCCCTGGAGGGGACATCCCACCCCCTCGGGGACCCCCCTTGCCCCGCCCCCACCCCCACCCCCGCTGACATCGCCCCTCCCCCCACCCGCTGCGCCCCTCCCCCGCCCCGCCCCGCCCCCAACGTCTTCCCGGTCACTGCCGCCCCTCCCCCACGGGGCCCCCCCGGGGTGTCTGGCTCCTCCCCCTCCCTCTCGCCCCTCCCTCTCCTGCTCCTGCTGCTGCCCCTCCCCCCGCTCCTCCTGCCCTGAGCACCCCTCCCCCACCCCCATATTTATTGTAGGCCCCTCCCCCCCGCCTCGTGCTGGACCCCTCCCCCTCAAAATAAAACATTAATCGACGATTGGTCGCCTCTGTGTGGTCTCAAGGTGGGGGGAGGGGCGGTGGAGACACCTCCTGCCCCTCCCCCACACCCCCAAACTGCCCCTTCCCCTCCCCCACACTCTTTCCCAGTTTCACAGTTTCCTTCCCCAAAATGGGGAAACTTTGGGGTGGGGGAGGGGTGGGAGGGGTGGGAGGGGCGTCGGACAAGCCCCTCCCCCACCCCGTTATAAGGAGGATCCCCCGGGGGGGGGGG